ACGACGTTGTAAAACAAGCCAATTCACCTCGTGAACTCGGCAACCAGGTTACCGTCTTTTTTTTTTACCTCTGTTTTTTTTTTTTGGCGGTAACCATAATGGTGGTCGAGTAGATCATGTTGTGCGGGGTCGAGAAACCTCACTCCGCTCAACGGGGGATGATCGCACCACGTTGTGTTAAAATGGTCAAGCTTCCTCGAGGCAGTTACACAGTGCTTACAACTGTCTCTGGAAGTGAAAGCACCAGAAAATAAATTAAGTCATACGTAGCTGTCATCCGTACGCAAGGAAGTAAGCACAAGATGCCGAACACCCTTAGCAGGATGCAGCTCACCCTTCATGCGACTCGCCAAATACCTCACGGCGCTTCGCGCTTGGTGATGTGAGAGCCTGGTCCGGTGAGAACCCGGCGTGCTCCGTCCCGGCTTTGTAGGGATGCGAGGTCAATGGTCAAACGACTACGGCATGCACGACTATGAGTATGAGTACACCCCCCCCCCCTGGGGAGTGTGAGTTGTACAGGAAGGAAAGAGAGGATCTCGAGGAGGAAATGAGACAGAGAGGATGTGACATGGACAAGTTTGGTAAATTAGACAACAGCGAAAAAACGATCGCGATAATTGGGGATAGATGGTGGGCACAAGAGGCCCTAGAGGACGGGGATAAGATGTGCAAGAATTTTTTATGGAGTTTGTGGCAGAAACGTGAAGAGCTCCCAAATGTTGGTGGTGTCTCTAGTAGGTGTAGGAACGGTGCTCCGTCTCGAAAGGGACGCGTGGTCAATGGTCAAATGACTACGGCAAGCAACAAATGAGTACGCCCCCCCCCCCACCCCCCCCCTGGAAAACACACCGCAGGGCGGGGGGCATCGCTTGGCCGGGCGCGTCGGGCTTCCACCTCGTCGTGCTCTGCCTCTCTGTCTCGGAAGGGCTCACCTTCGGCACGCGACCCTGGCTGCTGGGGAGCGGAATCCTCCTGTTCTGCGTGGGCTCGGGCGCTACGGTCGGGGGCAAGCGCGGAAGAAAGCCGAACCGTGCGATCTGGAGCACCAGCGGGAGGAGGGCCATGGGCGGGAATGGGGGGTCCCTGATGCCTCTGTTTCAGGGCGCGGCGGGGGCGGGGGGCGGGGGCGGGAAGAACGGGCGTAGCAACGGGGGCGGCGGCCGGGGGGGGGCGGGGGGTGGTAGCTGGGGGGCGGGCCGGCATAAGGAGTAGTGGTGAGATGGGCTGCGGACGCTCAGACTTGAGCGTGCGCTTGGCTCATGCTGGTGTTGCTGCTGCAGAGCAGTGTCAGCCTGTAGGAAAAGGCTGTTGGTACTGCAGCGGCAGCGGTAGTACCATAGCTGCAGAAAGGGTAGCGCCTTTTGAAGGTGGGTTTGTTGTTATTTTGTTGGCGTTCGCTTGGGCGGTGCATTTCGGTGCTTTGGGTACATAGATGAACGCTTGGGTAGCACCTCCGTTTGACCCGAGACCGGCACGTTCTCACTGTTATTTGGTGCGTACATTTTGTGGGGTTGTCGTTTTGTCTTCGTCTGTTACAAATTATGTTTGTGTTTTTTGTGCATCGGGGTATTGCACACTAGAAAACGGTTGTCGGCGCCTGCGGCGGCGGCGGCGGCGGCGGCGGCGGCGGCGGCGCAACGTACAACTAAGGGTTACAGCCGTCCGTTCTTGACGGATTGTGGTATTAAACGATAAAGATTTTGTGAAAAAATACACACTTATGCCGAGGCGACCGTTGGTCGAGTCTGTGCGCATTGCACACGCCGCCAGCAAATCGCACAGGGGTCGGCTGCCTTTGGTATGAACCTAATAATGACGCGCTGATTATATTTGAGGTTCATTTACAAGTTAAAACCGCACACGACGCGGAGCCCCGCCGGCGGACGAGAACGCGTTAAGCGCGTGGCTTTTTCGTCCCACGAAGACGTCATGGCTTTCGTGACGTAATGTTTTTCGTGTTTCGCTATACTCCTTCAGGCAGGAAACTTAGTTTTGGGTGGGAGCTGAAGCAGCCGGTTTTCTGCCTCTCTTTCGGGTGTATCACGGGTTATTTCGTTGCACACCCTCAGCAGCGCCCCTCGACAGCTTGTATCGAGTTGTCTTAAGGAGACGCATACTCGCCTGTTACTGTTACGGTTACGTCCATTCGTGATGGTGTCATCAATAATCACGATTTGCCGTGAATCAGACATGGCAGTAAACCTCATTTCTCCAAGCGAAGTCGACCGAAAAAATCAACGTCAGTCAACGTCAGAGTCAAGCAAGCCAGTCAAGAGTCTTCCGGGCATCACCGATTCAATTTCTCATCCCCAAAAACCACTAAAATCCCAATACGGGACGATGCGCACGGGTATCTTGTCGTCATCCATCACACCAAGACACGGGACAGCCACGCCCGTCCAGCAATACCGCCGTGCAGACGTGCGCAACGAAAGAGACCCCCCCCTCGCAACCAACATCGTGAACGCCCGTCTGTGTGTCGTCGAACTCATGAGGAAGAACCAACTCGCAGCAGACGCGACCTTCCGACCTTTGTACTCGTAATCCTGGAACCAGTTTTTTGCGACGCGCCCGCTTCCGGTACACCCACGCCGGTCGCGTGCGGCTGGATACGCGTAAACCAAGACCCACACGACAGACACGTCTACCCTTCGCCTTTGTAACGCCTGTTGCGTGCCAATATCATACTTTGTACATAAAAAGCTACCGGACAAAAAAAAAACAAAATCGCATTAGTAAAATGAAGAAATACCAGACTCGCCGTAAACGCCGTTTTCCTCCGTACAGTATTGAGGGGACCACGGCGTGTGCCTCTCCCCTAGCACACGCACGTCACCAGTCGCCCGTCAGCGGACTGTACGTAGGCTCACAGCGACCATCTTAGCCTGTTGTCAGATATCGTACCGCTGTGGGAAAAAGCACTTTCTTCCGTTGCGCTATGGCCACCTCTTCTCGGGGAACAAACATCCTAGTCTACCACCACCGGCTGCCACGCAAAAGCGAGTGCGCCGGTTCCTTTTGCACAGCTATGTATCGTGGTGCTTGCATGCTCGCACGACAACAACGCCGTACAAAAAGCCAGCGCGACATCGCGTCATCGAAAACGGCAACCATTGTGTTGCTCGCGCAGCCGCCACCAGCACGCGGCGAGCAGCCAATGAAAAAAAAGAAGGACACCCAACCCCTCTCGAACGGCAAAGAGAACGAACAGCACACCCAATCAATGCTTTCGATGTACTGCGTATCGGATCACAACATGGGGTCGGGGTAGCCCAAAGTGAATTAATACCTGGGCTACCCCCGTATCGGAAAAAAACAACATAATCATTATCCCGTTTAAATACAATAAACGAGAAGGCTCACGACCAAAAACAAAACATTTTCACCCAAATCTAGTGTTGGTGGATCAAACTCGCCCCTGTGTTAAAATCGTGCCGGATACGGGAAGATTCTCCTAGCAGTGAGTTATCGTCGTTCAGAGAAACACGGAGGGCGGTGCATCTATACTTTTGGTTTTATCCCATGGCATCGTCGAGTTCTTCGTCCTCATCGAACTCTCCCTCCTCTTCCGCGGTGGCGTCCTGGTACTGCTGGTACTCCGACACCAGGTCGTTCATGTTGGACTCGGCCTCCGTGAACTCCATCTCGTCCATGCCCTCGCCGGTGTACCTGTATGATTGGTCGATTTGGCGGCAGGGCAGGGTACAGTAACAGCAGTAGCAGGTTCAACAGAAGAACACAAGAGGTATTGTAGAGAGAAATACGGACACGACAGAATCGCAGAAAGGTGGGCACACCAGGCCGAAACCGCATTTGGTGCTGCAAGGAGTGAAAAAGATAAAACAAACCTCACAGCACAAATGACGTCCTGCACCAGCATATTGCATGACACCCACACATATGACAACGCAGGTACACACGACCGTTGTGTACTTCCCTGCAAGTCAACATGAACTACACATTTACGCACACATACACGTCTCACCAGTGGAGGAAGGCCTTTCGCCGGAACATGGCCGTGAACTGCTCCGCCACACGCTTCCAAACCTCCTGGATGGCGGTGGTGTTACCCACGAAGGTGGTGGACATCTTGAGTCCCTTCGGTGGGATGTCGCAGATGGAGGCCTTGACGTTGTTGGGGATCCACTCCACGAAGTAGGACGAGTTCTTGTTCACGACGTTCAGCATCTGATGCAACGCGAAGGATGGCAGCGCCGCATATCACAATGAATGGCACAATCGGCATGTTGCGTTAGGGTCGTATATCCCATGTTGCAAACGTACGTCGCACGATGTGGGTGAGGGGTAAGCAGTCACAGTGCTCCTGAGCATAAGACAGACATCCAAGCACCAACGCATACCCGAAACTGAAAGTACCAACGAGGAAGACTGCTGACCATTTCAACTTCGGCTAATCCTGGTACACGTTTCGACGCAACACGTGTGGGAGCGTTCTACGACACCTCAGCGCTCACACAACAGGAGAGAGGACAGCGGCGCAATAGGTAATGATGTGCTCTACAACGGGCCCTCACCTGTTCGTCGACCTCCTTGGTGGACATTCGCCCTCGGAACATCACGGCGCAGGTCAGGTACCGCCCGTGGCGAGGGTCGGCGGCGCACATCATGTTCTTCGAGTCAAAGCACTGCTGGGTCAGCTCGGGGACCGTCAGGGCGCGGTACTGCTGCGAGCCGCGGCTGGTGAGGGGAGCGAAGCCGATCATGAAGAAGTGCAGGCGGGGGAACGGCACCATGTTGACCGCCAGCTTCCGGAGGTCGCAGTTGAGCTGCCCGGGGAAGCGGAGGGAGCAGGTAGTACCGCAGATGGCGGCCGACACCAGGTGGTTCAGGTCACCGTAGGTGGGCGTGGTGAGCTTGAGGGTCCGGAAGCAGATGTCGTACAGTGCCTCGTTGTCGAGCATGAAGCACTGGTCGGCGTTCTCGACGAGCTGGTGCACGGAGAGGGTAGCGTTGTAGGGCTCGACGACGGTGTCGGACACCTTGGGCGACGGGATGACGGAGTAGGTGGACATGACGCGGTCCGGGTACTCTTCTCGGATCTTCGAGATGAGCAGAGTGCCCATGCCCGCACCCGTCCCGCCTCCCATGGAATGGGTCATCTGGAAGCCCTGCAGCGCGTCGCACGACTCGGCCTCTTTGCGGACGACGTCCAGCACCGAGTCGATGAGCTCGGCGCCCTCGGTGTAGTGGCCCTTGGCCCAGTTGTTCCCCGCGCCCGTCTGGCCGAACACGAAGTTGTCCGGCCGGAAGAGCTGTCCGAAGGGGCCCGCGCGCACGGAGTCCATGGTTCCGGGCTCGAGGTCCATGAGGATGGCGCGCGGGACGTAGCGGCCGCCGGTGGCCTCGTTGAAGTAGCAGTTGATGCGCTCGAGCTGGAGGTCGGAGTCGCCGTGGTAGGCCCCCGTGGGGTCGATGCCGTGCTCATCGGAGATGACTTCCCAGAACTTGGACCCGATCTGTGTTGGAGGGCCAGCGATACGTGTATGAGCGGCAGCAAGCGGTTTCCGAATGTAGTACTATGTCACCAAATAGTTCCCTCATGCAGTTTAATGCTCCATAACTTGTGTAGTATTCATTCACAGGAGGTAAGTTTCAAGTTTCATTCATATCTACGAACGTGGTAGGGTATGTTACATCCCATCGTTCTGAATATGCTGAAACACGGGCGGCTCGCGCTTGGACCCGTGAACTTACTCCGCTGATTTAATTCAATATATACATGAGTTTCGGGGATTACGCCCCCCGGGCGACAAAAAACAAGTTATGGTTCAGAGCAGAAGAGAGCGCCAAACGGAACCGCGAGAACGGGCATGAGCGGTTGTGTTAATGTGAAGCCGTCTAGGGCGCGTGAGGGTAGATCGATGCTTTCAGTAGCGCTCATCATACTCTAGCCAGCCAGCCCCAAATGATGCGGTAGCAGTGCTGGGGTGCTATTGCGACACATGCAGAGATGTGCGGCGTATCGGGCGTAAATGACGGTTTCTCTGGTATTCCCTTCAACAACATGTATTGCGTGCAGAAGTGGGGGGGGTTTGGCGACCCAACAAGATGGCACTCGAGCCCTTCGTTTCGGAATGAGGGTGCTTACTGAGCGCCCCCGGCCTGCCGCTGTATGCTGCCGGCCACAGGTCAGAAACTGGGGTTGCTGTCATGCAACGACAATGCTTCATACGCTTTTTCTCTCGTCAAAAGAAGCCCGAAGAATAGTACTCTGATGCAGCTCGTCGGTGCAAGCAACTTTGGCTGTTCGTGTTATGGACTACAGTAGCATGCGGTCATTTTCTTTTCGCGCCGTGGGGGAAAGTCACAAGCTACCACAAGTGCGTGATTCGAACTCACCTGGTTACCACACTGTCCGGCCTGAACGTGAACTTGAGTTGCCAGGGTAGCGGAGGAGGAGTTGGGAAGTACCAGCGGAGGGAAAGGAGAGAGAAACAGAGGGAAAGGCAAGAGAAAGAGAGACATGTTAATGTTAGCGAGTGGTATGCAAACATGCACGGACAGGCATCTTGCGTGTTTGCTGCAGTATGGGGCGTTCGCTCTTCCTTACACCCGACGTCCCTCGTGCCAACCCCATCAGCCGTACCGATTTCCCTCATGGTTTAGCTTGGCGCGTTGATACGGAAAAGCGTTGTGTGGAGTGTGGAGGGTGGAGAAGAGGAGTGGGGAGTGAGAGGTGTGGGTTCATGTTTCACGTGACGCGAGTGTCGTGCATGAAAAATGCGGAGGAATTATATTAAAAACCGCCAGCAACAAAAACGCCTCCGTCATTGGTTCCATTCGTGGGTGCCCTCCATCCCCTGCCCCCTGCTGCAGGCTGTGCGTTTTTTTGGCCCCGGGAGCCGAGCAATCACCCCCTCTGCTCGGTCTCTTTGAACACTCTCACCTTTTGTCTTTGGGTGCCTCTTTGTCTCCACAGCCGAACACCCGTCTAAAACCATGAGGGAGATCGTTCACGTTCAAGCAGGTGGGTGGACATCTGCGTATGAAGTTTATATCTCTTTGCTCTTTTGCTCCCCGTCCTGGCTGTGGCTCTTCTCTCTATCTTCCCTCACACTCGCTAACCCGATCGCGTTCCCCTTCCCCCCTCAACTTCGCTCGCGATCTTGCTCCATCATGCCCGCAACGCGGGATTCGGCCCTACTCCAGGACAATGTGGTAACCAGGTGAGTCTCGCAGATCATGCGGTCTTTGTTCGAAGAGAGGCATGTGAGGATCCTGTGCTTGCGTTGCACGCCCACAGGTTTGAGATGCGTTGGACCTTGGTCATGTCCTCCTGTGCTACTGCTGTATGCGTTGCTTTCTAGGCTGTGCGGGCCAGAGAGAGTGGGTAAATGCAATCTCACCGGGAGACTTCGGGACGAGCAAGCAGTAGCGAAATACGACGGGATCCTGCGTGTGCGTGTGTTTGCTTGTGTGCACGTGGAGTTCGCAGGTTGTATCTGTCTCTTGCCCTCTCTTGGCTGGCTCTCGTGAACGAAGAAAATAAGCAAACGGCAGAAAGACAAGAAGAGCCAAAAAAAAAAAGGTTGGACTCCTGCACCTAGCACCAAAAACACAAGACGTTGCTTTGTACAGGACACCGAAGATAAGATTGCTTGGATTGCAACCAGCCAATTTTTGTGCCCGTCACGCCCGTGGTCGAGAGATCCCTCAGCCTCCTGTCCATCAGCAGTACTTCCTGTGTGAGGGTGCAATCCGCTAGGCGTTAACCGATCCGAAAGCTCATGGTTGGGAGAGATCCGGGCAGCCGTTGAAGTTTAAATCGCACGGGGTGTTTGGTATGCAAAGCCTACAGGCGCAAGATAGCGTCGTGGGCCTCCCACAAAGCAGCGGTATCTAGTACTAAGTGGTTGGGGTTGCAGTGTGCCAGGAAGAAAGGTCGGCGTAATGCCCAAGTGCTGCTGCTGCGGTATGTACGCATGTTCCACAAAAATTTTGGTGTCATGCCATGTGTATGGCTTCAAGAGTATGTGTGGATCGAATATGGGAGGAGACGCATGGCATGGATCCACCACGCAGAATGGTGGCGACGATGGGAGGCTGTACAAAGCGGGTTGTCGTGCTGTGCCGATGGATCCAAATGGACCGCCTGCATAGGCGATGGCTGTGCCTCCAACCATAGTGCATCAACAAACAACCGCCAAATTGGCGACACCCAAAACACCACAACAGCAGTGGTGCAATCGGTGCTAACAACACAGACGCCTTTCAAATTTACCCTTTAGTCTATGGTCTATGAGAGGGTCGGTCTTTTTTGGTTGAAAAAACCACACTTAATGGTTTCCAGTGATCTCCGAGAATCAATGTGTTTAGCAGCCGTGGTTGGGCGTGTGTGGTTTCGTTTGAGGGAATCTCAAGCCCCCTCGGGTGTACCGATACGCAGACCAGAGGCTTTTTGTCACCGACCAGACAAGGTTCTGCTGCTGTGTACCCAACGCACTCAGCGCATCGCACCCTCCTGGCATTCTCAATTCTCCACGCTCGAACCTATGACCGAATATCCACCCAAACTGTGCTGCCCACGTAGTTGTAGGGTCAGTTCGACAGCCCTTGTACAGCGAGCACAACGCCGTAAACTGCCCCGCCAATGGTTGAGGGAGCAGCGTTGGCCATAGAGCCCATAACCCCCGCCCCACCACCTCCTCCTTGAGTCAAGCTGTAACTGCAGCCTGCGTTTGTTCGGGTCCCAGCAAAGATGACCAACCCAGAGGAATCTCTACCTCTTCCTGGGCTAACATCGAACAACGATCATATCTTACACGTATCGCTGGCCCTCCAACACAGATCGGGTCCAAGTTCTGGGAAGTCATCTCCGATGAGCACGGCATCGACCCCACGGGGGCCTACCACGGCGACTCCGACCTCCAGCTCGAGCGCATCAACTGCTACTTCAACGAGGCCACCGGCGGCCGCTACGTCCCGCGCGCCATCCTCATGGACCTCGAGCCCGGAACCATGGACTCCGTGCGCGCGGGCCCCTTCGGACAGCTCTTCCGGCCGGACAACTTCGTGTTCGGCCAGACGGGCGCGGGGAACAACTGGGCCAAGGGCCACTACACCGAGGGCGCCGAGCTCATCGACTCGGTGCTGGACGTCGTCCGCAAGGAGGCCGAGTCGTGCGACGCGCTGCAGGGCTTCCAGCTGACGCACTCGATGGGGGGCGGGACGGGCGCGGGCATGGGCACCCTGCTCATCTCGAAGGTGCGAATAAGTTTTGATGTCCTTTGCGGACAAAACAAACTGTCAGTTTGTACGTGGTGGCGAGGGTGGAGTTGGTGTCTCGCGGTTTGGTAGCACCTGGTTGTCAAATAACACTGGTATATTTTTGCGGATTTCCTGCCAGAACGGTAACTTTGTCTGAGAGTTTTTGTTGTACCCCACCCGTAGGGAGCAGCAACCTAGCGGGAACGCGGATGTATTCTGTCTCCTCGTACCTATAACAGTTTGGCGCGTGGTCAACCGCTAGTCGTCGGGTCGTTGCCAGCACCACGTGACCACGATTCCTCCCCTCCCCCGCCCCTGCCCCGCCATAGGTCCGTGAAGAGTACCCGGACCGCATCATGTCCACCTACTCCGTCATCCCGTCGCCCAAGGTGTCCGACACCGTCGTCGAGCCCTACAACGCCACCCTCTCCGTGCACCAGCTCGTCGAGAACGCCGACCAGTGCTTCACGCTCGACAACGAGGCACTGTACGACATCTGCTTCCGGACCCTCAAGCTCACCACGCCCACCTACGGTGACCTGAACCACCTGGTGTCGGCCGCCATCTGCGGTACTACCTGCTCCCTCCGCTTCCCCGGGCAGCTCAACTGCGACCTCCGGAAGCTGGCGGTCAACATGGTGCCGTTCCCCCGCCTGCACTTCTTCATGATCGGCTTCGCTCCCCTCACCAGCCGCGGCTCGCAGCAGTACCGCGCCCTGACGGTCCCCGAGCTGACCCAGCAGTGCTTTGACTCGAAGAACATGATGTGCGCCGCCGACCCTCGCCACGGGCGGTACCTGACCTGCGCCGTGATGTTCCGAGGGCGAATGTCCACCAAGGAGGTCGACGAACAGGTGAGGGCCCGTTGTAGAGCACATCATCACCTATTGCGCCGCTGTCCTCTCTCCTGTTGTGTGAGCGCTGAGGTGTCGTAGAACGCTCCCACACGTGTTGCGTCGAAACGTGTACCAGGATTAGCCGAAGTTGAAATGGTCAGCAGTCTTCCTCGTTGATACTTTCAGTTTCGGGTATGCGTTGGTGCTTGGATGTCTGTCTTATGCTCAGGAGCACTGTGACCGCTTACCCCTCACCCACATCGTGCGACGTACGTTTGCAACATGGGATATACGACCCTAACGCAACATGCCGATTGTGCCATTCATTGTGATATGCGGCGCTGCCATCCTTCGCGTTGCATCAGATGCTGAACGTCGTGAACAAGAACTCCTCCTACTTCGTGGAGTGGATCCCCAACAACGTCAAGGCCTCCATCTGCGACATCCCACCGAAGGGACTCAAGATGTCCACCACCTTCGTGGGCAACACCACCGCCATCCAGGAGGTTTGGAAGCGTGTGGCGGAGCAGTTCACGGCCATGTTCCGGCGAAAGGCCTTCCTCCACTGGTGAGACGTGTATGTGTGCGTAAATGTGTAGTTCATGTTGACTTGCAGGGAAGTACACAACGGTCGTGTGTACCTGCGTTGCACACCCTGTACAACTTTAACTAATAACTAACTAAGTTAGTTGTTTGCCAGACAACTATCGGCTAGTTGTTCGTAAACACCTAGGTGCGCGCGCTCCTGAACGAGTAGTCATCTACAGCCAACTAGGTGCGCACGCTCCTGGATTAGTAGTCATCTACAGCCAACTAGGTGCGCACGCTCCTGAAAGAGTAGTCATCTACAGCCAACTTGGTGCGCACACTCCTGGAAGAGTAGGTGTCTGCAGCCAACTAGGTGCGCACGCTCCTGAAAGAGTAGGTGTCTGCAGCCAACTAGGTGCGCACCCTCCTGGAAGAGTAGGTGTCTGCAGCCAACTAGGTGCGCACCCTCCTAGAAGAGTAGGTGTCTGCAGCCAACTAGGTGCGCACCCTCCTGGAAGAGTAGGTGTCCGCAGCCAACTAGGTGCGGACCATCCTGGAAGAGTAGGTGTCTGCAGCCAACTAGGTGCCTGGGCAGTTGTCAATATAGAACATGTTCACGTTGTTTGTTGCCCGGGCAATTGTCAACCACAGAATCGCACACACTAACACCCAAACATAGACAGACACGGGCAGATGTCAAAATAGAACAGTTAGCTGCCGGCGCAACAGGGGACTACTGCAGACCACGCAGTCGCACCCACAGATACACACGGATGGGCAGGTGTCAACAGTCAATACAGAACAGCTGCCGGCGCAGTAGACTACCACCGCACACCACGCACTCTCTCACACACCACCCGACGAGCGAACAAGCGCACCACATGGCGGCCTATGGCGGCGGCTGTTCCACCAACCGACCCTACGCCAGCACCACCAGCACCACCAGCAGATGGTGGCCAGCAAACAGACGGAGGGATTGGTTCGTCGGAAGAAGAGGCAGTGACGGTCGATGATGCATGTTCAATTAGTTTTTTTCACGACCCAGTATAATAAGCGGATGTTGTTTGGCAGGTCTCCCTCGCATAGGAGAGAGCTCCTGGCCATCTGGCTAGGTTGGCGTGTCATGCTCGCGGATCATCACACAGCATGCTTGCGTGTATTGTGGTTCGTTTCACCAGGAATAGATCGATAAAGGTTCACAAGGTGTAAGGTTTGGCTGACCTTCCTTGTCTGCACCCCTTTCTGCGCAGAAACAACCTCTCACTGCTACTACCACTGTTAATGCGTTCTCCTTGTAATTCCAGGACAGACTATCAACTCTAACTAATAAGCCAGCTAAGTTAGTTGTTAGACAGACAACCACCGGCTAGTTGTTCGTAAACACCTAGGTGCGCACGATTCTGGACTAGTAGTCATCTACAGCCAACTAGGTGCGCACAAATCTGAACCAGTAGGTGTCCCTCAGCCAACTAGGTGCGCACGCCCCTGAAAGAGTAGTCATCTACAGCCAACTAGGTGCGCACGCTCCTGGATTAGTAGTCATCTACAGCCAACTAGGTGCGCACGCCCCTGAAAGAGTAGTCATCTACAGCCAACTAGGTGCGCACTCTCCTGAAAGAGTAGGTGTCTGCAGCCAACTAGGTGCGCACGCTCCTGGATTAGTAGTCATCTACAGCCAACTAGGTGCGCACACTCCTGAAGGAGTAGGTGTCTGCAGCCAACTAGGTGCGCACCCTCCTGAAAGAGTAGGTGTCTGCAGCCAACTAGGTGCGCACCCTCCTGGAAGAGTAGGTGTCTGGCAAACAACTACCACCTAAAGTAGTTGTACAGGGTGTGCTGCGTTGTCATATGTGTGGGTGTCATGCAATATGCTGGTGCAGGACGTCATTTGTGCTGTGAGGTTTGTTTTATCTTTTTCACTCCTTGCAGCACCAAATGCGGTTTCGGCCTGGTGTGCCCACCTTTCTGCGATTCTGTCGTGTCCGTCTTTCTCTCTACAATACCTCTTGTGTTCTTCTGTTGAACCTGCTACTGCTGTTACTGTACCCTGCCCTGCCGCCAAATCGACCAATCATACAGGTACACCGGCGAGGGCATGGACGAGATGGAGTTCACGGAGGCCGAGTCCAACATGAACGACCTGGTGTCGGAGTACCAGCAGTACCAGGACGCCACCGCGGAAGAGGAGGGAGAGTTCGATGAGGACGAAGAACTCGACGACGGAATGATGTAGACGCTGGATGCCGAATGTTAGTGCTGTGTATTGTCTACGTCACTTTAACTGTCCTGATTTCTGTCCGACAGATCATTATACTTGCTTGCTGGTCGTGCAAGAAGTGGTGGTGGATGCCCGAGGCTGGCGGGATAACGCCCGAGGACACCGGTAGTGTTACGGAAGTCTTTCTCTTTCTTTTAGTTTAATCAAAATTTGTGTTGCTGGCATTTGTTGGCCGTTTTGGCTTCTCCAGTTTTGTCTCGCTTTGTTGCCGTGGCTGTGTTGGGGTCGTCGGACTACTGGCATTGTTGTGTAGCATCGGCACTTGAGTTATTTTCCCCCCTTGGGGTTGTTTTTGTTTCTTCAGTTGTTTTATTCAAACGGGGTTTTAATAAGATTAGCCTTGACCTACTTGTTTTAAGGTCATTTTTGGGGTTGTATTCCGGCATCGTGGCATTTGCTTGTTTTTGGTTCGTCCGTGGTGATGTTGGTGTGTGTTTTAAGTCCTTCAGCCGCCTGTCGATCATTGTTTTGTTGTAGCTGTAAAGTTTGTACGTGGGTTTCGCCATCCTGTTCCTACACTCGTTCTGAACAAGATGTTGGTACCGAACGCTGCGGTGAGCGGGTGCTTGGTGCACTGGCCCACAGTACAAAGAGTTCACACGTAGTTTTGTTGTAATTTTATATCTCGCTCATTACAAGTATTATAGATTGCGGTGTCGTTTTTTGTGGGTGGGCTCGGAGACGGTTGCTGCTCATTTCCCTATTTTCCCGCCTGCGATGGCGTCCCTTCTTAAGCAGAAGGTCCACGAATTGTGTGGGAAGAGTGTTTGGAGGTTCGAGCCTATGTTTCCGGATGGGGCGTATGTTGACGAGCGGTGCTGGTTGAGCACCAGGTTTTGCATTTCGCTCCGTCGTTGAGCCTATTTTAGTTGTTTCGCCCGTTTTTTTTCTGGCGTAGGATTCTGCGTTCCCTCATCGTTACAGCCTATGGGAAAGAGAAACATGAGATATCTTCACGGATTCACTGCTGTGCCTCCGGCAAGCTTCTATAACGCCAGTTTGAACGTCCGCACTCGCACACGCGAAGAGAAGGCGTTTTAGAGAAGAACTGGCTTGGAAATGTAGGTGTTTGTTCGCACTGCCGTGTAAAAGGAGCGAGGTTCCTTGTTTCTGATGAACTTGGGGCTGGTTTGAGTCCTGCTGCAGATGTTCTGCCAACATTGTTCCAGGCATTTGTCGTCGAAATACCTCGCAAGCAGTGCTTTACACAACGCACGCTTTTGGAAGACAATCGGTCGAGCTCGACAAGCCACCGTTCACTCCCGCGGTGGACAATATTTATATCTCCAACACCCCACTCTCCCAAGTATGCTATGCAATATGCCGGGTGTGCCAACAGGACCTCGTCGCACCAGTGCATGTTCCAGATTGATGTTTAACTGCTTGCCTCGTTTTGCGTGCTTGATCATGTGTCACCCATTCTTACATGTAGAAAAGTGCGACGCACCAGCGTCCATGCCGCGGAGTGCACTGACCCGGGTAATCCGTAAGGGTGACGGCAGTAACAACCCAGCAACATCCACCCCCCATAGCCACAAGAGACCCTTACATACTACCGCTTACAGCAGTATCTGTTTCTCTGGCACGCATATTCAAACCCCTTTCTAGGCGCACTTTTTTTCAGACTATGGCTTTCGCTCCCACTCTCCTTGTGGAAAACCAAAGCAATGAACTGCAGGGTCGGGTCTGGTTCTTCCTACTGCACTATCCTCATCTACTACCTGGAAATCTCGATTTTCCCGCCACATCTATATTCTGTCCTATATACCATTTTCCAGTAGTTCCTGCGCCAGACAGGCAGGCCAATCCCTGTTGTCTGCCTCCCCCACTTCCCGTCGACAAGATGGGCAACAAACATCCGACGTCTGAGCATGGGGCTCATAAGTGAGCTCCGGGGCATAACATTAGAGAGACGAAAGAAAGCAACGCCATATCGCGAAGCTGAAGCAATCGGATCTACCTGGTCTAATTTGTCACTTTTCACTATTGTACAGTCCCCGAGCCTTCGCCCTCTTTTGGCCGTTTCTTGAGAATCTTGTCCACCACGCCGAACTCTATCGCTTCCTGGGCGGTCATGTAGAAGTCGCGGTCCATGACCTTCTCGATCTCCCCCACTTCCTGCGAGGAGAGGGAGGGGTCGAAGAGCACCCAAGCCCGACGCAAAGGGAAGGTACGTACGTATGGCACGTCGTTAAAAGGGCAGAAGGTCGAAAACAAGGGGGGCTCTTCCGAGAAAAAAAGGTTGGGAGTAGAGCGCCCTCCCTTCGTGAAAGGGGGGCAAGGGTGGCGAGTGGTGACGGCACGGAGTGTCAAGGCTTTTTTCGGCGTTTTTTTCACGGGGAATGGTGGGCGAGATCACGCAAATGCACAACTGGAGAGAGCTGAGAAGCTCGCTTCTGGCCCTCTCCTTTCCTGGAACGAGTGCATACAAGCAATCGCTACCGTCGATTTTAAACGGAGTAGTTGTCACGGAAATGATGGGGGTGCGACGAAGTTATCCATCCCATTCGTCGGGCGAGCGGATGGCGGAAGGCAGGCAAGAAAAATTCGTGCGCGCACGCGAGAGAGGAGAGGAACCAGCACGACCCAAAGAAGGCAGCGTAGCGGTAACCCAGCCTACCAGTAGTAGCACGTACGGTAGAACAGGGAGGCATGCCTTTCTCACCACGATCACGAAGAGATCCATTCGGCAAATGAATGGCGTTATTTCGCACTCTGGTTTGTGCACGAGCTTCGTACACTACACAATTTTCGGCAACGACTGATCCTGTAGTAACGACGAAGGCCCACGGCAAGCCACATACATAAACCGCACACATCAAACGAGTACAAAAAAACTAGCAAAGAGAGAATTAAGTCACTCTGTGCGGTCCTTACTCGTCCGGTGTGCTCCGCGTAGATGTCGTTCAAGCGCGCCCTAGTCTTGATTATCTCTTCCGCCATGATGGCGATGTCGGCCGCCATGCCGTTCGCCCCGCCACTCGGCTGATGCAACATGACCTGGGTCACCGGTTGGTTGACGAGGGCGAACAACAAACACGGGGTGGCGTTATTGTTTTCGCACCTCGTTGCTTGGTGACGCTTCGTGAACTACTGCCGGGGGCAAAGGCCTACGAGGTACAAGGTTGAATTATCCTGCCGCAAAAATGAGTGTGGCACTCCACTCGGCTTCGCCAGGACCGCTGAGCGTGTACCGCATATGTATCGCAGCGTCTCCTTTCTATGCACATACATATCCTTTTGAGTTTTCATGTGTGGTCATCGGTTCCGTAGACTGAATAGGCACGGCACAGCCCCTCGCTTATCCCAACCCCGGCTTCTTCTTGCCTTGGCGTTCGGAAGTATGAAGCGCATCTCCGGAGAACCTGCGGTAAGAAGCAGCGATCCCATCGACGCGGCCTGCCCCATGCAGATCGTGCAGATCTCCGGCCGGACGTACTGCATGGTGTCGTAGATCGCCAATCCGGCCGTGACCACGCCACCGGGGCTGGGTTGATTTTGATTTGATTGGACAATGCATTAGAGAGCTTGTTGGTGTATTTTTGGGTTTTCCGCTCGTTCGAGTACGGCACAACGGCGGGTGCGTCATCGGGGGTGAGAGGGATATCCATCGAGAAAACAACCGAAATACAATAAAAAGTCTGGTGGGAGGCCGAAGGAAGGTAGGTACATGGCGAGATATCTCCCAGTCAAAAGTGGTGGAACTTACGTGTGCCTGACTGACTTACAACAGCAGTGCAGGCTTTCGACCGTGTGTTGAATTCAAGACGACTATCACAACAGCCACGACAACCGCCAGGCAAGAACGTGTACTGTTCTTCCTGGTGTGTAAGATATTCCATACACGGACGAAGGAAACCTTCGAAATAACTAGCCACAACTGCTGCATGTATGTATTTAGCACGTGCGATGGTTTCGCATGGGGGGTTGAAAACAAACACGGACGGACCTGTTGATGTACATGTTGATGGGCTTATCCGGATTCTCCGACTCGAGGAACAGGAGCTGGGCCGTCACCAACGATGTCATCTGCTCCGTTACAGGCCCGTGCATGCAGATAATGCGTTCCTGGTTTCCGGCAGAGGGATCGATCGCCCAGTAGACAACAGCGCCATAGACGTGAAATTGTTACACCTGCGGTATCAACTTGGACTCGCGGGAAATGACCGACGTATCCGAACACGCCGCCCGAATCTCAGAAGCAGTCAACCAAACTAACTTGCTGCCGGCGTCTGCTACGAAATTCAATGTCTCAGGAAAGAGTGCACGATTACATGCAATCTCCTCAAGCCCAAATACTGCCACCTACAGCAGCAGTTAGGTAGGATAACACACACACCCGTTGGCGTACCCGTGGTTGTATTGTGGTTGTTCTATGTACAACAACGTTGTTGGTGTGGTTGTTCTATGTACAACAACGTTGTTGTTGGTGTATCTGTCCGCGGGTTCAACATGGAATTCAAAATCCAATACACTCGTGATGGAAGCTACGCTTCCATTGAACCTACACCGAAGCATACACACCCTGAGAAGTCTTGAGTAAATATCGTAGGCGCGCTCCCCTCTTGGCGTTGACTCGAGCACCATGGGCAAGTAGTTCATCTCTACTCGGCGGGTGCTGCTATACGCTCTGAAGGCAATCCTGCTGTTCTTGGCTGCAGCCGGTCCTGCACCAGCGAGACTAGCCAATGCTCGGGCATGTATCGATGTCAGCAACATGCTACTATAGTTCAGCTGGCGTGGCCGGTTCGCCCAGAGAGAGAGAGGTAGAGTGAGGAGTGAGGTAGCGAGGCACGAGACCTAAAGCCTCAGCAAGGCCGCCGTTGCGGCGTAATTCACATTCCTAGGGGCACCGTGATGGACAAGCGTCCCCCCCCCCTGTTCTGTGATTATGACGTCATGATGTCACATGCTGATCGTTAGGGTGGTAAATGGCGGATCCTACACACGTATGGTGTTGGGTGTCGGTGAACAATCCTGGCCATCATGCATGTGTGACTTTTTATTTACGAAGTACACATAAGGCCGGTCGCCCCGGTGGTCTAGTTGGTCACCTCGAAACCTTCTAGAGGTCAGGTCAGGGGTTCGAATCCCGGCGTAAGCGAGCTTTCTTGCAAAGAAAGTGAGTTTTTCTCTCGCATCCGCTCCTGGCCTACTAGTGGATAGCGCTAGTTCGTGTGTAGTATTGCTGAACTCTTCTCGCATTAAAAATCGAAGGCAAAGTACCGCAGGAGGGGAGGGTAGAGAGGGGCTCTTCTGTGTGACCACGGGTTGGAGTAAACGGCACTACTAGTTCTGTGAGCGCTGATTTGAAGTGAAGACAAAAAAATAAACAAATAAATAAATAAATAAATAAATAACGTTAGAGAAGGACGCAGACTATTTACTGCCCGCTCAATATCGGAACTTGTCGGGAGATCTTGGAGATAGATCGGGGTTGCCTAGCTCTCTTCGTATTTTCGTTTTTCCCTTTTATTTCATGTGTGCATCTTCGCATGTACATACGGATGCCTTGTCTTGGTGTGACTTTTCGTGCGGATCGGTAGATCGGGGGTGCCGAGCTCTCTTCGTATTTTCGTTTTTCCCTATCATGTGTACATATCTTCGCATGTGACGGATGCCTTGTCTTGGTACTTTTCGTGCGGATCGGTGTCATCTACAAGTATGCCGGCTATTCGTCTTTGGCGTACGAGGGCCGTGTTTCTCAAGAGAACGCAAAGAACTCCGACGACCGAGTCAATTCGTCAAAATAACCCATGCCTTGCGCGAATCCATATTCTGGTGAAAATGGCACACCCGCGACCACCCATCCACCGATCATGTTGAGTGTTTTTGACCAGCACCACCAACTGCTTTGTACTGCTATTAACTGTTGTTCCGGGAATTCTTGGCACTTCGCACCACCATCGATTGTCGTGATTCCGCCTGCTTCTTCACTCAAGGGAATCAATCGTACTCTGCACTACAACAACCATCGATAGTATTGTTTGCAAGGGTCGCTGTATGCATACGGACCAGTTCCTGCATCAGCAGTACGTCGAGATGCCCTCTTTTGATACGGGCTTCCAACAAAGTCATACTGGTACAACAAACAAGGATAGACAACATCCTACTTCCCTCTGACGAGACAAGAAGCGGTCTCCAACTATACTGCATACAGAACGCGCCACCACCTAAGAACTTCGCAGTTTTAAGATAAGAAATTGAGCCTCGAAAAATTCAAAATGAGCCTCAAAAAGTTCAAAAAGGAAAACTTGGCCATGAGACCAGGTGCTCAGTCAAAAAGCCTGCAGTACACTAATATAACCTATATAGTCGCCGTGGGGGTACCCCATAAACAAAACAAGAAACGAGCCTTTGCCAACGTCTGCAGTGGCGAGGGGACCCGTTCTGTGTGAGGAGCCGCCGCACGCCCCCATTCAACCCCGCCCCCCCAGCCCGCGCCAGTCCCTATCTCTCTGCGGTTGACGGTTCTTCCGCCTTCTCCAAGTATCGGTTGAGCGCCTTCATTACTTCGACCTGCTCGGGCTCGGTGGCGAAGCGGTGGGTTGCACCCTCCACGACGACGAGCTCGTTGTTGGGCAGCACCTTGTCGAACTCGTAAGCATCGGCTACCGGGATGGTTTCATCCTCGGTGCCGTGAATGGTCAGGACCTTCGATCGGCTGCGATGTTTGATTATGAGAGTGTGGGACGACGAAGGCCAGGGAGGCGGCGCACAGAGATTGCCCGGGAAGCTTGCAATGAGGGCAGGGCGATGTGGCGGTTCACTTGGGATGGCCGAGAGTAGGGGAGGAAGAAGGCTGCGTAAGTATGTAAACTATCACTATCTACAGTAGGCTACCCAGGCTTGGTTTGGCCCTCAGCTCACACGTAGACCAAACACGGTCAATCGCATGTAGAGACTCACGTGATCGATGCGGCCGTCTTCTTCATGTTGAGCGCGGCTCGCTCCTCAAAATCGCTTTTGTTGATGGTGAGATCTTCCCCCTGCAAGCAATAAGAACGGATACACCATGCAACGGGGGGCGGGGGGGGGGGGGGGGTGAGGTACTCACAGTCGTGCATGCCGTAGTCGTTAGACCATTGACCTCGCATCCCTACAAAGCCGGGACGGAGCACGCCGGGTTCTCACCGGACCAGGCTCTCACATGACCAAGCGCGAAACGCCGTGAGGTATTCGGCGAGTCGCATGAAGGGAGGACGGGGGGAAGGGAGAAAAGGTTGACGAGCGTACTGCATGGCATAGAGGTCAAGCAGCAAGAGGAAAGTACATGGATGTGAGAACGCACAACACGGTATCACCACACACACCATTGTTCGCCATCTCTGAGATGAGTGCATAGAACCAACCTGTTTCGAGGATTCATCCGGTATAACTTCTGGAACAGCGTTAAAAAGATCAAAATGGCCCCATCGACCTCAGTACAGCAGCTTCCTTCATTTTTGCTGTACTTCACGCAAGCGCACACAGCTCGGAACTCCAACCCTCCGGGATGAAACACATGCTTCGACCCAGCCTTATTGTTGTTCAATTCCGACAGCTTGTCTCGTGCACACCAACTCCAGCACGTCGTACCTCTTTGGCAGCAATTTTCAAACCCCAAGCCTGCGTTTTCCAGCGTCTGGGTGTCCTACTTGCGTCATCTGCCAAGGCAAACGCCCCAATCCAGACAGGCCACGTCCCCAAACGTTACAAAAACAACATGGGGACAGGACAACGCCACCCACCCTGACATTCCACTCGAAAGATCCCGTCTCCTCGAGCTGGTTCCACTGCTCCTCCGTGAAGCGTGATCGAGGGGTCTCACTCGTGTCGAATCGTCCCGCCACGTTCACCACCAGCGGGACGTCGTCAAACGTCTCCCCGTACCGCAACACGGCCGCAGCGCCTGCGTTTCCGTTCAAACCAAGAATAGCGAGGCACAAGATTGTTGACTTTCACAACCATTACAATGTTGGAGAAGGTGCGCTTTGCTGTAGAGCGAAATTAAACGTGGCGAGGCAACACCAATCCATCCAACAAAGGATATACCCACATGCCAGTTTTGGCGAGCAGTGGAGCGAAAATCTACTTGAGAGTCGAGGGAGTCCATTTCAGGTAAAGCGTGTTTGCGAGTCGGGGTAACGCAGGGATATCTAGACAAACCAGACGATGACTCGAAGCTATTTCGAGCAGGTCGGTCGCTTGGAGCAGAACGCACAGTTGCTGGATCACGCCAACAAAAAGAAGGGTCCACATAACTGCATGGTGAAGATTGAACCATCCTTGCATCTGGTGGGTGGGGGAGCTTGGGCGTAAACTCTGAACGGCACCGGGGGCTTCAAGGGAGGCGTTTCGTTTTCTGTAACAAAAGTTTTACAACAGGGTGGAGACAAAGCAATCTTTGTCGAGAACCCATCGCTTCCACCTCGCACGAACTCCGAACCGATTTTTACTTGTCTCGAAAGCTCTCGAAATTTTTCCTTGCAGAGGTACGCAAAGGAGGAGGATCCGTCCCATAATAATCTTACGCCTGGATGAACCCCTTTTCCAACACGCGGCCGAGAACTTCTGGCCCACTCACCCTTCGAATGGCCCAGAACGCAGTCCACGTTCCACCCGAGCTCCCTTAGCCGAAGCACAACCGCTCGCAAGTCGCCCAGTTCTTTCTGGGAATCCATTGCCATACACACATAAAACACACATGGGTGTTGGGAGATAGTATGGTAGCCGAGCAGCGTCAATTCTCGAAACCACAACTGGCGGCACGTCACCCCTTCCCCTTGCTCAATACCCTCCATTTCTGGAACACTACTGTACGTCTCGTCTCTTGTTGGTGCCGGGAGGGGGGCGCGGGGGGGTCGTGCATGAAAGGACCTGGCAAGACACCTCCACAAGAGGCAACACCCTCTCGTCTTGATGTACTATACTGCTCGTGAATAAGAAGAGGATGTAGTGCGGGCGAGCGGTAGCGGGCTGGAGTGGCGGGAAAAGAGTTAGGGAAAAATTATCCCCGTGTGGTCAAAGGAACTGAGGGACCAGCAGTGATCATGGGGATTGACCACCGCACGGGGGCACAGAGGGAACACCCTAACAACGCCCTCTCTCTCTCTCTCTCTCTCTCTCTCTCTTGCATTCCTCGAGGAAATATCTGCTGGACGGGGTTGTTCCCGGAGAGTATGCCTGACGCTTGCTCGACCAACACAATCTCATGCCAAACAACCTTTTCGATATCTTCACATGACACACAGGCCTTCATGGCGTGCCATTGCTACGAACGCCGACCACTTACGTCGTAGCCGGCGTACCTCCAGTCCCCCCCGGACTGCCCGCATCCGGCAAAGTCGAATCTGCGAAAAGAGAAAAGACAAGAGGCAGGTACGTCAGTAGGAATATCGTAGATGTCATCAGAAACGACCAGGATAGGGTTCCGATGTATGCGGTTCTTCCTCGAAGTTGGGGAGTTCTCTCTTTCCCTTCCGTCACTCCCACCAAGCCTTTGGTAACGAGTTAGTCTAGATACTTGCGAGTATATTTAGCGCCTTGGAAAACAAGCGGCCAGCCCTCTGTTGCTCATCAGCAGCGGGCGACTACGGATGGATGCGCAGGACCAATCAATGGAGGCATTGCTGTCACTACCTTCTTCTCCAGAGGCATCAAGCGACACGGTTGGGGACTCCGACTCTTGCAAGACGGACAGGCCTTGGCTCATGTTACTCGGGTGGCCGCCACTCTTCTGCTCACTGCTCTCACATGATTCTAAAGAACAGAAGTTTGGGTCTCTGAACAACATACACAATATCGTGCGCTTCTTTCGTAGCAATCATGACGGGGGGGAAGCAAGGCTGGAGTGGAGTGGTGGCAAGCAGCAATCTGCTCTATGGCCCAATTGGTGCTGGTGCTCCTGTGATTTACCCATGTACAAAATAGTGCGCAAGACCGTGCGGGGGAAAGAGGTAGGCTCACCGCAGTAGACTCCCGTACACGATCCTCCTACTTCGTGTACCGCAACAATACAAATTCACCTCTACCCATGGACAAAATAAAGTCGAGGATGCATTAGACTACTTCACGATGGAAACATAGTGGTACATGGTCTACCAGCTGTGCTGATGTGCCACAAAAGTCTGCCAAAAACATTGTACACCGACGCTCTCTTGCCTGTAGGTGTTCTCCGACAGCTCTCGGCTAACAAATGCGGGAACGGTGCCTTCGCAGCTCGAGCAGAGCCCGTGGCAAAGAACCCACACGGACTTAGAATCCTCTCGTTTCACCGTCAGCACGCCATTCAGATCGTAGCCCTCTTCCTCGTTCCTGACCACCAGCTGCGATTTCCCTGGTACCGTGACGGCTCCTGCTTCCCCCGCCGGTTGCACTGCTGATGATGATGTGCTCGTAGATGACATCGTTCCGCCGCTGATCGGCGCGTGTTGCGTTGATGATGAAGGGTACACGATGAACGACTGGGAAAAAGGCGCCACTGCCACTAGCACTAAAGCAAAGGCGGAAAGGAGTCGCATTGATTAGGAATCTGCGCTATTGTGCTGCTGTCGGTGAGCGTGTCGTCGTTGGTGGACAAAAAGGTTGGGTTTTGGGGACTGCTGTGAGCATGACACATCTACGAACGAAGAATATGACTCTTTATAAATACCATTTTTTTTTTTGTCAACGCTCACACAGCACTAGTGCCGTTTACTCCAACCCGTGGAAACACAGAAGAGCTCCTGTCTTCCCTCCCCTCCTGCGGTACTTTGCCTTCGATTTTTAAAGCGAGAACAGTTCAGCACTCTCTTCCCTCTGTGTACACACAAACTAGCGCTATCCATTATTTAGGCCAGGGGCGGAAGCGAGAGAAAAGCTCACTTTGCAAGAAAAGCTCGCTTACGCCGGGATTCGAACCCCTGACCTGACCTCTAGAAGGCTTCGAGGATACCAACTAGACTGCCGGGGCGACCAGTGCATGCCATGGTATTGTAAAGAGTCATATTCTTTGTCTACGAAGAAAGCGGAGATGCGGGGGAGACGGAATTTGCATAGGTGGGGGGGGGTACCGTAGACGGGTTCCCAAATCTTGGCTGCACTCGCTCTTGCAAAGAGTTGCTTTGTTCTTGTCTCCTCTCGATCCCCTCTTTCTTGCCCCCATCCTGTATCGAACGCGGTCCGAGGTAACGGACTGGTGGGCAACATTTTGCACACGCTGGTGAGTTCCAATTCGGGGTTGATGCGTCCGCAGATTCCAAACGACACTGGTATGTAGGCTAGACTACGCATATATATGTGTACACAGATCTGTGCGAAGATATACAGCAGTAGGTTGTTGCGTCCCTTGTCTTGCCCGAGTCATCTCTCTCTTCGTTGTATGTTACCCCCGGTCTTGCTTGGATGCACTGCTACTCTCCTGAAGGTAGCAACCCTGATACGATGGCCAGGCAGGCCCAGATGTGTGGCAGGGCCAAGTTCTTGTGTACAAAGAGGATTTTCTCAGGAGGATGACACGTTTTTCTTTCATTTGTTGTTTTTCCCTGGGTGCTATGTAGTCTACAGTAGTCCACGCAATACTTCCAAATACCATACCTCTGATCGTGGAGGAGTGCATGCAGGAGTCCGCCCTTCGTTTTGCGTGTGGTGAATCAATACCACCAATGCATGAAGCAGCGTACCTCCAATGGCGCCATCACCGCGTTACAGTAGTGTAGGCGCCGCAGATATTCAGCCGGGTCGGCAAAAGGAAACAACGACATGATAACTCAATAGCCGCAGTACCCCATCGCCCTGCAAGACAGAACGGTGTTTCACACAAACAAACAGGGCTGAAGAAAAGAAGAGAAATGGCATTTTGACATCGCTCGTTTGGTTGGCCCAACAGCACAGTCACAACAACAGACAGCGTGGTACGCCGTGGATTTATTGTGTACCGATCGACGCACCAGACCGAGCAAAACAGATGTTCTTGATGCCGCCCCGCTCTCACCTTAAGATGGCAGGGGCAACCTCAAACAAAGCCACTTTATGGTCTATTGCCACGTGATGCATCGCGACAATCCTGTACACTCCGTCTGGCCTCATCGCTGGGATTTGGATGTAGTACAACGTCAGTGCCTTGCTTATTGGCCTCCTTTCTAACCTATCCCTGTATACCATTATTGTACAGAGGGAGAAAAACACCTGACGGAAATTCACCTTCGTCAATGGTCGGGAGCGCTGCACCTCCAGGAGCACCCTCCAACGCTCCTTCGTTGTTGGACGATTTTCCGGAACTGGCCATCACTCGTGAAGACGATGAGGTGAAAGAAGGGCAGGAACGAAGGAGATTTCCATGGCAACTGAATTCTTGATTTTACCAAGATTTTTTGTATCACTTCGGTTTTTCCTTGGAGAGATAATTGACGGATGGGGTGAATGCCATGCCCCCTCCCCCTCTCCTTCCTGAAGGACGGCGTCACCAAAGATGAGGTAGCCATGTCGAAGGTAATGCCCCGAGGCGTGTTTTCTGTAGATACTACCCGATTCCACTTTCTTTGGGACAACAATGTGCCGCCTCCGCCTACGCAGATACCCACCCACCAGAACTCTAGTCTATGGCTAGCGTGTTTGTGTTCTATATCCCGCTATAACGTCCAGTCGATTCGCGCGCTCGATGATAATTAAAGATGCGCACGCGCGCTCTTCTCCCGATTGGGCAGCCTGTTCCCGCTTCTTCGAGAAGCACACAAACACACACACAGGTACGTACGTTCCCACGTATACTCACCGATGATGATGCGTTTATACTCGTCTCGTCGCGAAACAAGCTTCTGACATCGCTCCTCCAAGAGTCCGGCTGGGGCGAAACAAGCAATGAGGACGACCGCGCCATCAATCTGCCGATCGAGTGGGTAGTGGACATAGCGGACAAGGACAACGACTGGTTCCTTGCCACGGCCTTCGGCTACAACGACATGAAGCAGACTCTGCACGTCATGGTGCCGGACGGCATCAACCCTACCTGGACAGGCGACGTGGCGGTCAACCAGTTGGTGCGCTGTTTTCGATCGATCGTTTGGTGTAGGCCTGATGACGTTCTCGTTTGTCACTAGTATGCAACCTGGTTGCTGATAAGTTGGGGTGCTCTCTCCAGCGCTGGGGCCGTAAATGCTGCGTGCGGCAAGGCATTCGGAACTTCTCTGTTGGTAAACACACATACTCTACACGTAGAGCATGTTGCCTGGGCTTTTAAGGTTTGTCGTTCTCCTTCATGTTCAGGTTGTGGTGCGCATGTTCCTGCGGCAAGTCGATACATAGGCCAATCTCCAGTCAAGCGCCATCCCTCCCCACCATCCCTCTTTGGTGCCGTCTAGTCGCTCTTTGTGTTGCGCAACTACCGCTTGTTGTCCACGGATAGCTGTTGCAAGCTCGTTAACTTGGCGACAGGAACATTGTTCATACGTCAAGTATTTGTTTTCCACCCACTTCACATAATCCTGGTGTCGTGCACACTTCGACCCGTACGGACAAAATGTTGTTGTCGATGTCGTCAGCAACAGGTCGACATTCAGAATCGTGGCAGTGAGCGACGCATGCCTGACTCCAACGAAGCACAGCGATCAACACCCCACCCCAATCACGTTCTCGTGCAGCTTCGACAGAAAGAGAAGAGCAAACATCCGTGGCGGTGGTGGTTGCCGCCAGTAGAGGCAGCACCAGGGTAGCGTCCACCCGAACGCTTTGTTGACGAAAGACTTTGAAGGAGTTGGCAGAGGACACAACAATGTGGCCTGTCTGTCTCCTCCAGGGGGCTGATATGTTTGTTTTCCCTCTCGTTTAGCACTCCCCCGCCCGAAAAAATACAATGGTCTCGGCACATTCGTCAAACAGGCCCTCGTTCTGCTAGCGCGAGTACCCGTGCGCTGTGCAAAAAGAAGGCCTCACGCGTCCTCCCCGTTCCGATCCCATTGATGGGTAATCGACGGACTTTGTGCCCTCAAGGCCGCAGCGAATGCAATCGACGGACCACACGTCTATTAATGGCTGTCCATAACAGGGCATAGAAATAAACTCCTTTGCTTCCCTTCAGACTGTGCGACTCTTGGAGTGCTGCGACAAACGCTCCATGGCGCTGTTCAAGCAGCTGGTGCGAGAGAGCGCGATAGAGGTGGATTGGGACGTGTCCATTCATCATCGGGTGAGAGGATAGAGCGTGCACAGTATGCCACCTGAGATGAATTTTTGTTTTTCTCCCCACGAGAAGCATTCCACACGAAGGATGAGTGCGGGAGGGCGGGGGCGAGTACAGATTCCTATACCCTTTTCGTCTCCGTGATATCACCAAGCAGCTGGCCCGTCGCGTGCGTATATCACATGCACACGCACGCGGCGAACATCTCGCGGAAACTGTCAGCGCACGTCAAGAACAAACCCAACACCCGGACGTTTCAAACAACTTTACCGTGCGAGCGGGGCGAGCGGCCTGCGGTAACTCGCCGCACCGGGGAAGATGACCCGTCCGGTAGGTCGCCGCACCGCGGAAGATGACCCGTAACACCAACACCGACGAGGTAGCATTGCCGTCAACTCGCCAGGTGACAGGCGGGGAGGACAACGACACGGATGATTCGGCTGCCGCCAGCAACCGCAGCAGGAAACCGTCATCAGGAGCAACAGCAGAAGCAGCAGCAGCCAGCGCGACCGCTCGAGCCACACTGCTGTTGCCCCTGGGGAACCTCGTTGTCGTTGAGGTCGAGAGCGGCGACAACAGTGGCCCCGAAGGGGGAGCTTCTTGCCCCATTTCAGGCGGCAGCGACGTTGTTGGAGTTGTTGCACTAGGTGGTGAGGGCGGTGGTGACACCGGAGCCACCGCCACCAGCACCGAAAAGGAACAGAAGCTGGTGCAGCTAGATGGCCGCTTCGAGCTCCTACACTGCAGAGGTGAAGGTACGCGCGGACGCGTCCAACCGAGGACTCTTTGGTTGTCATCATATCGCTGTCAAGCCTAAATACAACGTGGACCTAGCAGCATGGGGAAACCCTTAAAGTGCTTGCTCTTTCGCGCCCCATTTTGTGTTCGCTATGGCGTGTATGGGGATGTGTTTCCAGCCCATCAACGACGGAGCCCATATCAGATTAACTCGTGGTCATTAAATCACCTTGGCGTGTCAACATCGTGACTAGCCACCAGGTGTGGCGTAGGTGGTGGGTTTGGCACATATTGTGATCATGCGAAGAAGTACCAAGTTGGGCCTGTTCTGAACACACGAAGTCGTCGCCTTGCTTCCGTGCCG